CACCCTAACAAAAACCATCCAGAAATAAGCTCCTCAAAACACATCACCAGGTGACAGGTAAATGATTTCAAACTGTGGATCATACCTGTCTTTACAGTGATGAACCTAGAGAAAAGCAGAGAAAATGAGACTTCTGACAATAGTCACAAACAGTTACACTCAGACTCCTCTGTTCTATCTCCTTGCTAAACTAAGCTAGAATAAATACCTTCACACACCTAAACTCAGTTACTAACCCCTTCAAATGCCTTGCCCAAAGACTGAAACCACCTGCTCAAAGAAATGACTCCCCACACTTTCCTGCCCCATCCCATCATCTGCCTTAAGGCAACACAGATGATTTTCCTACCATAAAAATCATCCCCCTCCTGTTTCAGGCAGCACTCACCGAATCAAGTCCCTGTGATACACACTTAGCACAGATTATAATCACAGAACCATCAGGGTTGGAGGAGATCTCTAAGTTCATCAAGTCCAACCATGAACCTGTCACTGCTGGAACCCCTAAACCCTCAACCAGATCCTCCAGTGTCAGATCCAGACACCTCTTCAACACTTCCAGGGATGGTGACTCCACCACCTCCCTGGGCAATATCCCAGTGCCTCAACACCCTCACAGGGAGAACATTTCTCCTCACATCCAATCTGACTCTGCCCTGGCACAGCTCAAGGCCATTCCCTCTAGTCCTCTCCCTGCAGCCATGGCAGGACACACATCCCCCACCTCTCTCCAGCCCTGGCAGGGAGTTGCAGAGAGCCAGGAGGTCACCCCTGAGCTGAAAAAGGCTGAAAAAACCCAATTCCCAACCCCAATTCCAGGTCTCTTCAGATAAATCATGCATGGAAACAGCATTTTCAACTAGAAATTGCATAAATTGTTTTTTCTTTTCCCCCTTTTCATTATCTTCTGTCTTTGATCTCCTTCATTTCCTCCATTACCTGAGCAGTTCAGGTTGCCAAAGAAAGTGAAAATTCTGCAGTGCAAGACAGCTAAGATCCTCCATCTCAGCCCTCCAAACAACCCTTGCTTTGTTTTGGTTTCCAGGCATCAATTTCCTATTAGAAAAGACCCTGAAACAAAGCCCTTTCAGGACAGCACAGCAACTACTACATTGCAGAGGTCGTTATTGACATGAGAGACAAAAAAACCGAAAGCAATTTTCCTTCTCAATCTTACAGCCCACGTATTAGAAATGCAACACTGGAAAGGTTAGGGGGGAAAAAAATCATGGTTTAATTACATCAGTGTAGCATAAACTCTTTAGTAGTCGATACCAGGATATTATTGTGACGTCTAATCTAACCTCGAGTTCTCCGCGGACACCGCGAACAGACCCCATGCACGGTTGGCATGGAGAAGGTTTGTACAAAGGCAGTCAGTGGTTCAGTCCCTCAGGTGTCCCAGCATGGTGAGACAAACACATACACACCAGCAAGTACAGAGAAATGTTATGCTACATTTTGGAAAGTGCTTCACATCTGTAGGACAAGAAATGGCTTCATCTCCTCATCCCTCAACGATGAGAGCAAAGAAATAACCCTTGACAAGGTTAAATAAACAGTGCCCCACTGATCCATGCTTATTCTACAAAGTTCCTAACAATCCAGAAGGTTCCATGGTGACATTTACAATCTATGTACAGTGTAACAAACTGCCCATGGAAAAAGGTTCAGATACTCCTCGATTCCCCAAAGCTGCTCTCTGCACCAGAGAGCTACCTACAATACTAGGTTGGTTTGCTTTTTCCCCCTCTTTGTTTTTTTTTTTTTTTGTAAAAATTAAGTCATCCCAATCCACCTGGATTAAAATCAGCCCCTAAATCCTGGCAATATTTAACAGCTGCTTCATCCCAGTGTTTAAGGCATGTTCACCAGATGTCAGTGTAGGGGCAGTGTCAGAAAGGAGAACCCTCACAGGGACTAAGAGTCAGCAGATTTACACAACAACACCTGTTCACAGAGTCATGTAACACAAACTGTTCTGATGGAAGTTGTTCCTGAGTTAAAACTGCCTAAATACTGCTAAGATTAATGCTTTCCTTTCATACTTCTTTTCTTCTTCTTCTTCTGGAATGTCCTTTTGCATATCCTCAACTGGATTAAAATCCACTCTGCAAACAGCCTGAATGTCAGAAGGTAAAAATGTTAGCAAAATTCTAATTGCATCAGCATTCCCCAAGCGAAATTTGGGCAGGATGCTCTGAATTTGCAGGGTTTAGTATCCCCTAGCTTCCAGCAAGAGCATTCTCTACGTGTGAGGACAAACACAAATGTCAGTCCACATTTTTGTGCATCAAGAGCAGATTTTGGTATCAAGAATGAACAAAGTCCTGTGACTGTATGCAACTCTGCTAATGTAGACATTTTTCAGCTTCTCCTCCTGCAAAGGAAAATATTTCCTATGCTGCAGGAACACAAAACTCCTACAAATATATTCAGTTTTTTAGAACAGACAACTTGTCTGTTCACTGATCCATTCCCACAGAATTGGTGCTCCCTGACATGACTTCCTATTTTAAAAACATGGATAGCTTTAAAACCAGATTTTTCCTTAGCTTCAGAGTGTGCCTGACAATTCTTACAGCCCTAATAATCCTGGCTCCAACTCACTCCAGCTCAAAGAAACATGCGCTCAAGTCTGAGCATCACATTTGATGGGAGTTAAAGGGCATGAGGAACTCAGGGTGACACAAGGTGTGACTCAGGTCTGTGCTACACCTGCACTTTGGCTGTCCACTGAAGAAAAAAAACCTCAGAAAACTGCCCTGAATCCCAAGTTTGAGGAAATACAAGCAAAACAACGAGCTTTAATGGGATCAGTACTTGCTCCAAGGGCTTGGAGCAACTTAGGTTAATGGAAGGTGTCCCTGCCCATGGCAGGAGGTTGGAACTAGATCCTTAAGGTCCTTCCAACACAAACCAGCCTATGAGTCTGATTTGAAGAGCTCCACCTGAAACTCACCACTTACAGTGATGTAGCAACTCCTATTTCAGATACAAGAAGAAACTGCAGTGATTAACAGGTTGCTCAGGGAGGCTGTGGCTGCCCCAACCCTGGAAGTGTTCACAGCCAGGTTCGATGAAGCCTTGAGCAACCTGCTCTGGTGAGAGGTGTCCTAGCCAGAGCAGGGGGCTGGGGCTGGATCACGGAATCACAGAATTTCAGGGTTGGAATGGACCTTACAGATCATCTAGTCCCAACCCCCTGCCCTGGGCAGAGACACCTCCTCACTAGATCAGGCTGCTCAAGGCTTCATCCAACCTGGCCTTGAATACTGCCAGGGTTGGGGCAGCCACAGCCTCCCTGGGCAACTTGTACCAGTGTCTCACCACCCTTAGAGTAAAAAACGTTTTTCTCACATCCAGTCTAGACTTCCCCTCCTTCCTTTTGAACCCAGTACCCCTTGTCCTATCACTGCAGTTCCTAACACAGAGTCCCTCTCTGGCTCCTTGTAGGCCCTTCAAATATTGAAAAGTTGCTCTGAGGTCTCCACACAACCTTCTCTTCTCCAGGCTGAACAGCCCCAACTCCCTCAGCCTGTCCTCACAGGGGAGATGCTCCAGTGCTCTTAGCAACTTGGTGGCCTCCTCTGGGCTTGCTCCAACAGTTCCATGTTCCTCTTATGTTGAGGGCACCAGAACTGCACGCACACTCATCTCTAAGGCCCATTCCAACCCTTAAATTCAATGACTGCCCCTACCAGACTAGGGAATTAATGTTCCTTTACGCATTCTCCAACCCATCAGCAGTGCAAATCATCAATTACAGTATGATTCAAAAAATCTCATTTCCTGGTTTCTTTCCATTTGAATCCTAGGACAGAAAGTAGTGACAGGGTGTGAAAGGAACAGCTGCTTCCACAGTATAGGAACTCCAAACAGAGAGTCTTATTATAGTGGTCTAAAAACAAAGCTCTGAGTGAAGTTCAGGCTACCTTATGCACCAGGGTTAGCTGAAATGTATCTGCTGTGACCATCAAATATAAATAGCAACAATTTATTCACAAAATTCTGGGTTAGAGTGGTTGAGCTTTTTCTCCTTTAACAAACTTATGATCCATTGAGTTCTTAGCCAGGTGTAGGTTTAAGCACAACAATAGAAAAAACATAGTACACAAACACCTAAAAATCACAGTCCTAAAAAGCAGGCAAGTACCTCAAGTCTTTTGGTGGCCAAAGCAAAACAGATTCATCTGCCAAAGAGGTGAATGTCAATTGTGGGCATTAGTTCTGTTAAAAACTGGTGCTACTGTCACTGAACAATTTTTCTGCAGTTTAATACTGTGCTTAGAGAATTGTAAACTGTTTCAAAATGTGTTCACAGGTAACAGTGAAGGACTTAAATATAGTGGTCAAGAGGACAAACAAGGGGTTAAATCTGCATGTGTGGTGAGTGGGTGATTGGGAACTAACCCATAATTATCCACAGAGACCTTTGACCTTGCTTGAGTAGGACAGTACTGCCATCACTTCTACCACTTGTGACCATCATAACAAGAGGGGAAAAAAGAACACGTCAGCCCTGATACATCAATCACATATGCACTCAAAATTACAGCTATGTACATGAAAAATAGATATTTCATTAAAAAGCCACTGAAAATCATGGACTTTTAGTCAGGTGCTGCACTTCCTGCAAAAATGAGGTAATTTAGATGCAAACAAATCAGGCTGAGGAGAGTTCAGGTTTCACAGTCTCCACGCTGAGTACAGATTGCTGCAGTGAATGGCTTGGCTGTCTCTGTGTGTGCAGAGCAAAAAATCACCAGATCCAGTTACATCCTGTGTTGTAGTGCTCCTGATGCAACACTGACTGATGTCAGGAGGCTTCCCAGCTCAGTTCCACGACTGGTCTTTCCATAGAAAGAAAAAGGGGGTAAAAAAAAAAACAAACCAAAAAGAAAAAGGTTAGTTATAAGTTGGTTTCATCCCAAGACGGATCATTCATGTTCTTTAAAACTTTTCTAACAAGCTTCTCCAAGTCCTTGCGAGCTCTTTGCTCCTCTTCTAGTGACTTCTTCATCTTTTTGTTATCCTGTTTAACAGAGACAGAAATAACATGGTTGGTTCTGGTGGCTTTTAACACATCTTTTCTGACCACACACATTATCAACTGCTAATCCTGAAGGTTCTTCTCACCAAGATTCATCTTGGAGCTACTCAAAGGCAAAGCTTCTATCAAAACTTGAGTTCCACACAATGCAATCAAACCCACCAAATGGAAACTGAGCTTTTCCTGATTATACTTAGGGGAGCTTTGTAGTGAAAGTGTCAGTAAGAGATGGTAAATAATCCTGAATTCTTCTGCTCAAATCCCATCAGTGAGAAGTAGAAAAGATTTGCTGCTAACAGAGCAGGGAAATGGTGCAGTAAGTAGACTAAATATCCCCTTGAAGAGCCTCCTGTAATTGCAACTAGTTTCACAATCTCAAAGCTTCTTAAAACTTAATGCAAATTAAACTTGCTTCATTAGGAGAGTAAAGAGTTAAAAGGAGCATCCTGGAAATCATTAGGTCCTCTGGGAAGTGTTTTGTGGCTAAATTTGAAACAAGACAGTCTGAGAGAAGTCTGAATTTCAATTGTCTGTACGTGAGTGAGGGAGTTCTCAGTGCTTAGCACCATCAGGCAACACTGGAATAAACTAACAACAGCACCGTAAGGATGTCACTGACCAACCCACAGCAATCCTTGCATTGCTTCATCCTGTACAGGGCAAGGTAGGCAACAGTAGGGAAGCAACCAGAACCACAGAACCATCAAGGTTGGAGGAGACCTCTAAGATCATGTCCAATCATGAACCTGTCACTGCTGGAACCCCTAAACCAGATCCTCCAGTGTCAGATCCAGATGCCTCTTCAACACTTCCAGGGATGGTGACTCCACCACCAGAAGACAACACTGAGGGCCTCAAAACAAGTCTACTGGTGTTTACCAAACACAGGCCTGCAAACCAGGGCCTCACTGGGCTCCCATCAGCTGTCATCTACAGACAATTCCAGAAACAGGATGCGATCAACAGCTGTCACCTCAGTAACTTCATTCCCTCCTTAGAATCACAGAACCATCAAGGTCGGAGGAGACCTCTGAGATCATTGAGTCCAACCATTGACCTGTCACTGCTGGAACCCCTAAACCAGATCCTCCAGTGCCAGATCCAGACACCTTTTCAACACCTCCAGGGATGGTGACTCCACCAGTCAGAGTGACTGTCAGGGTGACTCCACCAGATCCAGAATGGCTGAGGTCAGTTAGCAAGCTCAGACAGTGGAGAACGAGGATAATCAAGACTTTTTTGTCTACACATTAAGCAAAGACTGTGTGCAGCAGCAGGAACATGGTTTAAAGAAGCTCTGTCCTGACAAAGACATTTAGAAACACCTCATTTTGGAGGCTTAAAACAAGATGAAAGTGTCAACTGCAACCACTATAGCAGCTCTTGAGAAACTTTCCCATGGCAAAGCAGCACCCAGAGCTAACCTGAAGGCCTCATTCAATAACGGCCACGTGACAGGCACTGAAAAGGTCTCTGGAACTGAGAGGTTTCAAGAACTGATTCTAAGAGGTGTTCAGGTCACTATAAGATGGTTAATAAATAGATTTAGGCACTTATACTACTAAAATTCTACATTCTGGAGCAAATACTGTTTCTCAGTCTCTCTAAGCTTACTTTGCTGGTTATACAGCAGAGCTGACTTTGCTTAACAGTTCCACCATTTCTCAGGTTGTAAGATCCAAAACCAGCTTAGTAAGTCACCTCAGGGAAATACCACTTCAGGCTGTTCTCAAAGCACTGATGACAACCACAACAGAGGGTGATTTTTGCCCAATTATGACAGTTTTACTTTTAAAAGTTAATCTGCTCCAAACTTCAAGCCTGTCAAAGCGAATCCACTTAGAGGTCATGTTTGTTTGTATAATAACCTTCCATCTTTCCCCTCTCCATGTTGCTATAAATGCAGCAAGTTACCAACCTGTCTTAACTCCTGCACTTCGTCCTTTAGCGCATATACTGTGTCAACAAGGCTTCTAAAACGAGAAAAGAAGAGGATTTGTTACAACAAATACATGTCTAATCCTCTTACTAGACAAAACGGTTAGATGAAATGTAATTAAAAACCCACAGCTAACAGGTAATTTCAAAATTGCGTTAAAAAAACTGTCTCTTATCTTAGTTTATACTCAGAAAGGCAAGGACTTGTCACCAGCTGCTGGGACAGGAGACACCTCTTAGCACATATGGACCTACAGTGGTTTCTGTATGACAACAGAGCTGCAGTGCCATGTCCAACACACCTTATCCAAAGAGCAGCTCAGTGGCACACACTGACAAGAAAGATGACACCAATCTAGTACTGAAATCCAACAGCACTTGGAAAAATGATTGCTAAGTGAAGCACATCACTTCTTGGCATGGGAGGGATAAATTGCACAACATACACAAGTTAGAAGGGAACACAATGGGTCATTGGTCCAACCTCCCTACTCCAGCAGGGCCATCCCAGAGCACATGGCTCAGGGTTGTGTCCAGAGGGTTTTGGAGTATCTCCAGTGAGGGAGAATCCACGACCTCTCTGGGCAATCTGTTCAGTGCTCAGTGACTGCACAGGGAAGAAGTTCTTCCTCGTGTTCAGGTGGAACTTCCTGGGCATCAGTTTTTGCTGTTGCCTCTTGTTCTGTGGGTTTCCCCCACGGAAGGAACCATATTGAGCTGAAGGCAAACAGCACCTACAGGCCTGGCAGCACACTCTGAGAGCTCTGTTCCTCCTGCAAACACACCACATACCCCACCACAACAAGAGACAGGAGAAGGAAGTAGAGTGCCAAGTTTACTACTTTAACCCATCATTCATGAAATGATTTCTTACTTCTCTTCTATAACAGTCTGACCATTACTTTTAGTTTCTTCTACAATAATTTTTTCTTCTTCTGGCAGCAGGACTTGAGGAGCTGATTCCTTACGGGAACCTGTTGCAAAGATAAATCACAAAATGAGCAAGTCACAGACATTTCTGGGGCATTTTACAGCTTAGACTTTCATTCATTGCATGAGATACCTTCATGACCAAGGTATTTCCAGTTCCCCCTTCCCTCCACATGAGTTACTGGCACATTTTTTACATTGGAAACCACAGCCTTACAACAGCAAACTGTCTGACACTCCTGTCCTGTTGTTGATGTCTCTCCTGTGCCATCAGTGGGGATGCTACACCATTCCACAAACACACTGATCAACCATCAGTAAAAGCTACACAAATTCACAGAGCTGACTGAGAAAGAGAGAGCTGTGTTTAAATAACAGCAATTTAAGCCCCCAAGGGCAGATTCTGATCCCACACTGATACAAATCCAAGAAGTAATTCTGCCCTGACCCCATTCCTGTCAGTAAGGAGCAGAATTGTGGTGACACAGTGATGAAAGAGAAGTTAAAACCCTTTTCCTGCAACACTCTAAGCACCACACTTGATACACACACAGATACACTTACAGATAGTGGTTTAGTCCCATAAGAAATCCCTACCAAATGAAACACACTTGGTATTTAATGAGTGTCTTCAAAAGCACTTAATGGTTTGATGATCCAAACATTCCAACATCTTCAAAGCATTTTGCATCGTCATTACAACTGATAACATCAAGGTAAAACATGCAGATTATAAAAGTAGTACAAAAGTAGTTCTGGCTATAAAAATCTCCAGCTCAGAGATGTACACTCATTTCTGCACACAAAGTCTGTGCTCTGGAAACATCAATTATGCTGCAACAAATGACAAGCTTTTCTTTTAAAGAGGTGTGAAAATAAACTGGTGCCTAAGCATTTGTTCAGAACTAAAACTCTGCAGACAAGGCACTCAAGGCATAGTCTACCCAAGATCTCAGTTTTAACAAACGAGGCACATTTGCCTACCAATTCCTTGTAACGAACTTCCATGAACCAGGAATGACTTCAGCCTCACACAGTGTGAGCAGCCCAGGAGGTGCTGCAGGGCACATGCCTGGCTGGAGAAATTACTTGCTTTGGGATAACAGCACTTGTCCTTTGTGGTTCATAATCAAATACATAACCTAAACACATTCAAAAAGGAGAGAAATCACAGTCATTCCAAAGTATAACTTCCCAACCAGCTGCAGAGTTGAGTTCTGAACGAGCTTGTTGGGACCAGATCTTATCTGTGTTAAATCATAGTGTTTATTTAATACTTAAAACTATTTTAGCAAGCAATGACAAACATCTTTTAATGAAGAAAACAGTTTCCTTAAGCTTACATAAAGATCTAATGTATCAGCACATGATTGCCACAATCACACGGAATAAAGATAACTGCAGACTGGAGAACAGAATCTTGTCCTTGAGAGCTGCAAGTTCTTCTCATGGAGTGAAGAAAAAGGGTTAATACACTTCCATTCCCACTTTTTTCCAGGGAAGGAACAACCTATAAAACAAACACATCCAAACTCTGTAGGGAGCTCAAGGACATTTCCCTGTTTGCTCTGCTATTCTCTAACTATAAAAACTTAGGTTTGCTTCAGTTAATTGGTTACTGCTCTGCTCTATTAGCCTTAGGTGGAGTCACCATCCCTGAAGTGTTGAAGAGGCATCTGGATCTGGCACTGGAGGATCTGGTTTAGGGTTTAGGGGTTTGAGCAGTGACAGGTTAATGGTTGGACCTGATGATCTTAGAGGTCTCCTCCAACCTTGATGGTTGGATGATGAAATGTTAGTTTAGGAAATAAGTGGCAGCACCTGCTACCAGATCACTACATTTTGGGTCTCTTGTACCACCATGGAGCACCTCAGCCCAGCACAGGTCAAGGGAGACACTGCCCAAAGGAAGAGAACTGCCATGTATGTGTTCCTCACCCAAGACTCCCTTCCACTAAATGGGGCAGTGCAGGATCTCTCTCTTTGTACAGAGCTACATCTGCCTGTGCACAGTAACACATGTCCTTGCCAAGCAGAACTAGTGTGGAATAGACAGCTTGGAAACAAGAACATCCCAGCTGCTCAGTTCCACACACACAGGAGTGTAAAACAGATGTCTGCACCAACTTGTCCTGATGCATGTACAGCAGAGCACAGCAAACACTCAGTTCTGCTGAGACACAGAAAGCAGCTCCATGAAAGACAAAATGTTCACCAAGATCACACACACAAGGAGACCTCACACCACACAGACACGACACACAACTGCTGCTGTGAGCACTGACCTTCCTGTGCCACACAACCTCAGCTACCATGGAACTCAAGACACAACAAGCTTCTCTCTTGCCTTTGTTGCCCCAACGCCTCTGGTCATACAGCTCTTATTTGTACCTCAGACCCTTTGCTGCTCTTATGGTTTGTACTGATGTGAAAAATCCCCTATTTTCTCCTCAATACTGTTTGGTTTTGGTGGGGTTTTCTTCATTGTGGATGATCTTTCCCCCCTAAACCCTACAAGCACTTACTGAGTGTCAAAGGTGCACAGACACAGCAGATCTATCCTGCCACAAAGGACCCTGACACCAAAAGAGCATATGCACAGTAACATCAGGCTCAAGGTGTCAAGTCCTGATGGCAAAAAGAAGCTATTTAACCAGTGGTGCTTTCTACACCATTTAAGCCAGTAGCTTTTCCTTATTTAAGATGCATTTTCTGGCAATTACACATCTAAAAGTAACTTCAAGCAGAGTCACCTCACTACTGGCACTCAGCAATATTCCCTAAATTCCACCTTGTGCCTCCACCAGGTTCTTTAGTCTCTATATAACCATTTCTCTCCAGAAAAGATACAGCTTTGGGACATGAAGAGAGGGTTGTGTTACAGCGTAGTGAGTAGTTCACACTGAGTTGTACTAAAAGAAGGGTCTAGGAAGTTCCTGTAATTCAGATAATCCTGTGAGACATATTCCACATTTTCATTAAGTAGGGCAGAAGAATCAAGTTACTTCAGAATCTGCCATACCTCGACCCTAAGTGTCCATGTTTCACATTGAGTTTTATTATGAGACACTACTCAGTCTCATTCCAAGTCAAACAGGACTATACTTCAAAGCCAGGTTGGATGAAGCCTTGAGCAACCTGCTCTGGTGGGAGGTGTCCCTGCCCAGGGCAGGGGGTTGGGGTTGGATAATCTCTAAGGTCCATTCCAACCCCTAAAATTCTATGATTTATGTTGACCTCCAACAATTCTGTCCCTAAATCACCTTGAGACAGTAGAACAAAAAGTACCAGTTGGTTTTGTTTGATGTTGTTGGGTTCTTTAAGAGATGGACACCCTCTCACCTCCATCCCAAGCTGTACAAAACAGGGTTTTTGTATTTGGGGTCTTTTGGTACAGTTTTGGTTTGTTAGTTTGTGGGGTTTTATTTGCTTGGTTGGTTTTTTGGGGGGGTGTGAAGGTGGGTGCTGGGGGAAGTAAGGTGCATGGGAGAAGAAAGGATGTTTGGCAAACCCAAACAATTCCTTCAAGGTTAGTGAACAAATCAATGAATATGAAGGCCAAGTAAGTTGCCATTCATTACCTTCCCAAAGGGGAACTGCTAAATCCAGGGTCTTGGAAGAATGACCCCACTGTTTAGGAGCCTGGGGCATAATGGAGGCAAATAACTGGTGACTCTGATCAAGATTCAGCTAAGTTTCCATCAATTAAATTCCACCATAAAGTTCTCTATTCAACATTAGTGTCTCTCAGCCCTAGAACAGAGATAATTACAATGCTTTTTGCCAACACCATATCCCCAATTATAGGTTTAGCAAATTTAGCCTCCAGAGTAAAGCCACTAACAGCACAGCCCTCCTGGCATTGAGACCAGGGCTACAGATCTCAGCAATACCCTCCAAAAAATGTGGTGCAACACCTGGAATGCAAAAATAGGCCTGTGGGTAACAGTTCCCTGCTCTTAGTTTTCACTTTCTGATCCTCTTTCCAGCCTAATCAAGCAGGAAACCAAGCATTTCTGGAAGAAAAAAAAAGGAAAGCTGAAATCTGTTTAGATATTTACATGGCTGAAAGATTTCATGATAGAAGCTCAATTTATACCTGGTGGGATGTCACTCCTAGCCCTGGAGTATGGTCTGAACACCAAAACAGGAAGACACTACAGCAGAGATTGAATGCCAGAGGTTCTCAGTGTTGTTTATGTGCAAACACAACTGCACAGCTCCAGCCTTTCATTCACTCTCCTCCAAAAGAAGTGTGACACCTTACAAAATGGTTGAGACAGAATCATGGAATGGTTTGAGTTGGAAGAGACCTTAAGACCATCTGGGTCCAACCCCCTGCCATGGGGAGGGACACTTTCCACTAGCCCAGGTTGCTCCAAGCCCCATCCAACATGGTCTGGAACACTTTTGGGGAGGGGACAGCCACAGCTTCTCTGGGCACCACATCCTTCTTCCGTAGCACCATGCTGGTCCCTGGCAGAAATCAGGCTGCAGGAGGAGCTGCACTGGCAAACAGTCTGGTCCTTCATTCTGAGTTATTTAGCAGACACATGTGAAGGGATTCAGAAGTTTTGCAGCACAGAAGTAAAAAAAGGGAGATGAAATTCAGATACCTCTTCACTTTAACTGGATATTCAGTCTCTGCCTATGTGCAAAGACCTTTCTGTCCAGGAACCATTTAAGCCAACGGTGAAATAGAGTTGGGTATTCACATCACCCTGCTCAAAGTAGCTAACTTCAGGGCCTCAGATCAAAGCCAATTCTCCCCAGTCAATCCAGCACAGGCTTCCTTCCCCCAGCTGCCCAACTGGAGGAGAAGGCTCATAGCAGAGTCCCAGAAGAGTGAGTGTCTTAATTTAAGCTAGGGGGGTGAGATGTGTGCTGATGGCAGCCAACTTCCACAACTGCACAGCATAGCCTGTGCCATCAGCAACGACTCTGCTGCTATTTTCTTCACACCTTTGCTGTGATCAGGAGAGGAGAAGAGAGAAACGAGGCAGGAAGAAAGATTGAAAATTATAAACAATACCTGTAAATCTGC